ACTTTAAAGACACCATTGTAACAACTAAGAATAATAAAATTTTTTTAATAAGGTTATCACAATATAAGGGTTTAAAAAAGTAGTTTAAAATTGGAATTTCTATGAAAAACCCTTGTTGACATATTTTTGAGCTCACACCATAGTTTAAAACAAATTAAATAAGGTAGCGGAAGTATAAAATCAAAATCATCACTTAATTACAATGAGGGATAATTTGGAAATTTCCAAAAAGGCCCCATCTATCACCAGAGGAACCTCATTCTCTTTATCCAGTGCGCAACTCTTTCTAGAATTCATTAGTTACCACTATATAATGCACATTGCACAATATCATTTGAGGTGCTTTTCCTGAGTATCCAAGAATGTTTCTAACAAATGTACTCCTGTATCATCATGTGAACAACATGCACAGTATTCCAACTTAGTGCATTTACCACTACATTGGCTTTGCTCGGGGGGTACTTGATTTTAAAATTGTAGTCTTAAGAAATTCCATCCATATGAGCTACCTTATATTGAGTTCCTTTAATCCACTAGGCACTTCAAATTTTTATGGTCACTAAACACCTTAAATACTGAACCATAAAGGTAATGTTGCCAAATCTTCAAGGCAAAGACCACCGCTTGCCAGCTCTAAATCATGCATTAGGTAATTTTTCTTCATGCGACTTTTTCCTTGAGGCATAGGCCATAACTCACTCGTCATGCATTAGGACACACCCCAAGCCTTTTAACAAGGCATCTGCATATACCATATAAGGGAGGCGAGGATCAGGAATAATCAGCACTGGCACAGTCGTTAACTTATTTTTCAACTCTTGACATTCTGATTCACACTTATCAATCCACATATATGGCTAATCTTTCTAAGGTATGGTCAATGGTGGTATAATATGTGAGAATCCCTGTATGAAACGCTAATAGTACCTAGCCAAACCTAGAAAACTACTTATCTCTATTACTGAGGCAGAGGAGTAGTTCTCATTTCAAAACAATATCCACCTTTAATAGATCCACTATAATTTCATTTGTGGATGCAATATGCTTAAGAAATCTCACCTCCCTTAGCAAAACTCACATGTGTTGAGCTTAGCATACAATTGTTGTCCTTTAAAAGCTATAAAAATGGTACGGAGATGCTTTGCATGTTCCTCTTCATTTCTTGAGTAGATCATAAGGTTGTTTATAAATACTATTACAAACTTATTGAGGTAAGGATGAAAAATTCTATTTATATAGTATATAGATATTGCTGGAACATTCATCGACCCAAATGGCATTAATAAAAACTCATAATGGCCACATCTAGTACGAAAAGTAGTCTTTGGCACATCCTCCACTCTAGCTTGTAGATGATGGTAGATTGATCGTAGATCAATTTTAGAAAATACAGTAGTTCTAACCAATTGATCTAGTAATCATCAATCTTAAGTAACAAATACTTGTTCTTGATTGTCACCTTATTCAACTATCGATAATCGATACATAGTCTCATATTGTATCCTTTTTCTTTACAAATAATATCGATGATCCCTACGAAGACACATTTGGTCTTATAAAACCCTTCTTCAGCAATTCCTCAAGTTGCACCTTTAGTTTTGCCAATTTAGATGGAGATATTCGATATAGAGCCTTTGATATGGGTTTTGTTCTAGGCACAACATCAATTAAGAATTTCACTTCTCTATCAGGTGGCAACCCTAATACTTCTTTAGAGAAAACTTTGGGGAACTCATTCATTACCCCTATTCTCTCAATTGCTCCGTCATAGGCATCATGAACGAAGAAGAACGTCATATATGCCCAATAACCTTGTTAGATACACTTCTTTGGTTGAATCACATACCAGAATTTCGACTGACTCGATTTGAAAATCATTTGCAATATATAAAATCTTTCTTTTGCAATATGCAATGCTTTCAAAACACATGTATGCAAAAATTACATATCTACTCACAAATAATTAAGTATTTAATCAAATAGAGGAAATTATTCCATTACCTCAATCCCTTTTGTCACAAAAAGGGTTACCATGGTCTAAATATGTGCCCCACAAGTTCGATACACATGATAACACTCGAGTAATACTTAATCTGCAAGACTAAGCTATAATTATTAATTATTACTCTGATTAAACTCCCAAATCACTAAATTTTGGGCACCCTTTTAAACAAAAATCTCATTTATCAATATCAACACTTTTAATGCACTTCATTAATTTCATTTAACACCCAAACACACTAATATCACTAATTATTTACTTATGTTATTATAAAACTCTCAATTTTCACTTAGGGTTCGTCCAAACCCTAACAAAAAATTTCAAATTCCTACAAAACCCTTAATATATGTTTGGAAGATTGATTTAACTCTCTAAGACATTAATTAAGCCAATGAGTTCAGTCAAAACTCAAGAAAATATGAATCAAAACCCCATATTGCCCTAAAACATTAAAATTTGCATAATGGGGAAGAAGAGGGGAAATGAAGCTTACCCAACGATGGTTTAAGCTTGTAATGCCTTCAAAGTGCTCCTAAAGTCACACCCTAATAGACCTCGAGCCTCCTTTAACATGTTTCACACCCTAATTTTCACACCTCTTGCTTGTCCCTTCTTTTTCCCTCTCTAAAACTAGACATGTTTCACATCTGATTTAACCCAGAAAATGGCCTGCCCTACAGTGCAAGGTGCATGTGTTGTGGTACATGGCATAGTAAGTGCCATATGCTATTTTGACTTCCTACTCGAGCCTCATTGATCGATACACACCTTAGCTCATTTCCAAGGCTATCCAAATGTCCAAAAACTTATTAGTGTAAACATTATTAATTCATAAATATCTTATTTAATCAAATTACCCTTCTTAAACACTTAAATTTTTAAGTTGAAAACTGAGGATGTTATATCATTCATGACAATGAATGCAACACATGATAATATGCAAGACTTATAACCCCTTTATGTTTTGTCCAACCTTATACTCTTGATCGAAACATAGGCTCATCCATAGTTTGGCCCACACATTGGACTGATCAAAGCATCTTTGAAGCTCAAGATATACCAGGTCAAAAGTACAGAGCCTAAGCCTTAAACTATGGATGCCTCCTTAAAGAACCTAATCGATAAGTGTCACTGTCTCACGTTCCCCATCTATAAACCTAGTCATGTAAGTATTAAGGAATAGGGGCCTAAGGTGTCATGTCGTACATTCCCCCTTTACAAACTTGGTCATGCAAGTATTAAGAAATAAGGCTTCGAAAAAAGGCCAATCACTATGCGAGAAGTGAAGGCAAACCAGTGATTACAAATCATATATATATATATAATATATATATATATATCAACATCAACATCATTATCTCCCTAACCCATTACCACATATGCAACAATCACTACTTACAAACAACTTTGAAGGAAAATAGAACATTATTGAATCATCTACAATCACATTCTTTACAGTTTTTTTACAATTTA